ACCCTATATAAAAAGTAAAGAAACAAAAAAGTGTTCTGAAACTGTTTATACCAAGTAAATCTACTTTTGACTCTATTCATATTGAAACAAAAACAGGTTACTTAGCTTTAGTATCAAATCCTGTTTGAAGCCTTTGTTATAATTATATTATTATTAAGAGTACAATTAAAAAATTAACTCTTATTTCAAATCACGCATATAGGTGTACGCAATATAACATACAGGTTAATTAGTATCACAGATCATAATAAAATCGAATTAAAATGAAATGTGAAATTCAATTTAACTCTTTAAAACCCACTTATACTTGTTTAATATAAACTCTACATTTGCAATATAATGGTATAATAAAGTAGCTATTAAGAAAAAGGTCACATTTAGAACTTTATCCATTCATCCAGACATATAGATTATAAAAAAAATTGATATTAGTGGAAATAGTATAAAAGGTTACTGTTCAAACTCTTTTCACTCACCTGATATGTTTTACCTTAAAGATCTACCAAGAGCCTGTATTTTCTTATAATAACATTAATTTTTTTGAATTGATATCATAGAAATCAACCAGGGCTCCGAAGTGCAGATTGATAACACAGCCACAGTATAGAAATAACCAATTAATAGCAAGCTGTAATAATCTTGAAAATATATATTGAGAATTAAATTGATATCTTCAAGATTTGTTATAGCCTGTTATTAATTGTTTGTTTTTAAACTATAGCTATAAGATAAATTGAAATATACAAAAAAATTATAAAAAAAAAAAAAAAAAAATTAAAAATTAATAAACAAAATAGGTTAATATATCTTGAAACTAGCTCAGCCACAACCTGAAATTAATCAGTTCTATCCAGAACCATGGCTTCAGCTGTGATTAAGAAGGGCTTAGCATAAGCCTAATTGGTTTTAAGCCAACATTAAAACTGTTAAGCGAATATGTAATAAACTATAGCTATGGTTGTAAATTACAGTAATACAAGTCTCGGTGATAAGTTACTAAAATAGTAAATTACCAATAAGTTACAGATGAAATAACTTGTATTCAATCCAGAGCCATTGTTTTGGGCTATGGTTTAAGGGCTTGGCATGAGTTATTTTGTTTCAAGCTATGATTAAATCATTGAATAGATAATATTCTAATTAAACTATTCTGAATTATGGTAATTTACAAACTTTAGCAATAAGCTACCAAAATAATAAGTTGTAATAAGTAATCAGTAAACTAATTTGCATTTATAATTGTCTATTATCATGAATTTTGCCAATATTGGCTGTGATTTAGAAGCATTTGACAACTTGCTACCAGAATTCATAATAACTTACTAGTAGCTTACTGCAGTAATTATCACAGAAAGTTACTAACAACAACCCGGATCATAGTCAGGCTATGACATAAAGCTGTTGTCCAAGTTTCTGCTATGATATTTCAGCTAAGCCGAGTTATTCAAGCTAATAACAAGGTCTAGCATATAAAAATGTAAATTTTATAGTTTAGAAAATGAAAAGATCAAAGAAAGAAAAAGGAAATACTTCCGTTACATAGCCCTAAAACTTAATAATCAGATGAATATTAAGGGTCTGAATAAAAAAAAAAAAATTCAAAATGGCAATAATCTTTATTGTCTTATCTTTATAAAAGCTAGACTGAGAGTTTTATTTCATATTTACCCTAACTTTCACCATGATTTCAAATCTGCAATCCAGAAAAACATGTAGTAAACTAAGTAATGTTTAAAAAAAACAAATTTGTAAATATTTTAATCAGAACCCATCAGCAAAGCATCAACATATTGCTGAAGAATTTACATGAAGATACCCTAAATTAAATATTGAGCGATCAACTGTGTCTAAAGTTTTTTTAAAAAAAGACCAATATCTGCATCTTAATGAAAATGATGCAGCACATAATCGTTATAAAAACAGACCACCTAAATATCTTTTAATTGAAAGGGCAATGAATATTTGAGTGGGCCAAGTATCAGCAGCTGGTTTAATTCTTACAGACAAGTTAGTAAAAACAAAAGGCCGTGAATTTGAAAGACTACTTGGAATGTCTGAAAGTGAATTAAAATTCTCCAATGGGTGGGTTATGAATTATAAGAAAAGAAATTTCTTACATCAGTATAAACTCCATGGTGAGGCTGCAAGTGCGTCTTTAAAATCACTAGTGAATAAAAGAATAAAGCTTCAAAACCTCCTTTTACAATACAAATTAGAAAATATATATAATACTGATGAAACAGGATTGTTCTACAGAATATTACCACATCAAACACTAGCAAAGAAAGCTGTTGCTGGTTCAAAACAAGTAAAATAATTTTTTTTAACTCTAGTATTGAAAAGTTAAAGACACTATCTATTGCACAGGTCAAATGAAGATAAATCAGGTCTAACTGGCATAACATAATCCCAATATGAACCTTATTTGAAACAAATATTTGGCGGAAATAGAAAACCTTTAGGATGCTAATCGGGTTTATGTAGGCGTTCAATACATATTGGAATGCTGATAGCTCTATAGGTAAATCGATAAAGCTAATAGGCTAGCTTTATTAATTTACCAATTGAGCTAGAGCATCCCGATATGTATTGAATACCTATATAAACCAGATTAGTATCCTAAAAGTCTCCTATTTCCACCAAATATCTGTTTCAAATAAGGTTCATATCGGGATTACATTATGCCGATTGGAGCCCGATTTACCTTCATTCAACTTGTGTTGTTATCATGTAAAAATTTAATATCAATCTTTATATAGGATAAGTCACGACTTATAGTATTATTAGCCACGAATGCAACTGGTTTAGATAAGCTTTGGCCTCTTGTTATCGGTCATTAAAAAAAACTACAAAGTTTTAATGATATAAACTTATCACAGCTTCTAGTCACATATGAAAATAATGAACAGGCATAAATAAGATCAAATATTTGGAAAAAATGGTTATGGTTTATTAATTCGGGCTTTCGCATTCAAAATAGAAAAATTTTGCTTTTAGCAGATAATGCACTATTACATAGTTCTCCTGAAGTGCCTAATAATAAAAATGAAGAAAATAGTATCAATAATGTTAATGATGATAGTAATCGATTAAATTCTAATAAAGAACAAGAGCCATGTGGAAGTGCACATGAAAGTGCACGTGGAAATGTATGTGGAAGAGCAAGAGGAAGAGCAAAAGGAAGGGCAAGAGGAAGAGGAAGGCCAAGGGGGAGAGCACAAGGAACTCGTGCTAATTCTTTACGCAAAAAAAAAACTTCCAAAACACTAAAGCTTTTCAATATTACCTTGCATTACCTTCTGCCTTACACAACAGCTCATCTCCAGCCTATGGATGCTGGTATAATCAAATCATTCAAGTCAAAATATAAGCGTCTATATTGTAAATTTGTCCTCAGGCAATTTGAATCGGGTGTCGATATAAAAGAGTTTGTATAATTATTAGCAATGATTAAAATCTATCTGATTGGCTATTGATTCATATAGTAATACTCTATATAAAAATATGATCAATCATATAAAAGATCGCCAACGAATTTGATTATATCAGATTAAAATTTGCTAGAAGCAAGTAACAATATTTTTTTAAAATTTCAGTAACTATTAATTATGAAAATTAATAACTTACTATTTGTAAATAATAATTTTACATAATAAATAGCTAATGAAACTTTAAAGAAATATTGTTCTATGAACGGTACCACAGGAGGGCTGAGTTCGAACCGGGGCCCGAGATCGGAAAACTGAGCGACCAGGTCCTAATGGCGGAGGACACACTAGCTGAACTGCCAGGTTATTGCACTAGAGGAAAAGGACATATGCTTCGAAAGTATGGACCAAGGGGAGGGCGTCCTTCAGGCATCTAAAGCCTGGGCAGACCAACCCTTCCAGGTTGCCAGCTGGAAGTAAGAGAGACCGGTAAAGAATCCGGGTAAGAAGACGGTCTAAATGTAGGGTACTGGGGTTGCTAGGAACCAAATCAAGGGCAAGGAATACGTAATGGGCACCTAGTTAGGAAGGTTGGTGCTTGAGAAATATTTGTAGAACGGCAGCACCCCAAAAGGTGGCGTGAGATACGAATATGAAACGGCAGGTCAATATGTACTAATTAGGAAGAAGTTATAGGAACAAGCACATGAATACATGTGTGAGACATGTACCACTGTGTTAGGTTTACCTTGAGGATAGTTAAGTGTCCTAAGGTAGAGTGCAAAATCCACATTGGGTGATACCAAAATCTAGCATATGAATAGTGAGGAAACCTATTGGGTTAGAGGGCTGATGGAGGTAGTTAGAACCAGATGGTTTAAATGGATACCCCCCTAGTTGAGGTGCAGGTATAGCAAATAGTGTAGAACCTTCGGGCAGACTACTTAAATAGGCACTCAAAAGGTACATGTGTGGCTTGATGTACCATTGTTGTAATTATATATAAAACTTCATCTATACTCTAATAAAAAGTTCCCAGACCAAAGAGGTCACCTTAATACCAAAAAAAAAAAAAAAAAAAATATTGTTCTATGACATTACTTGCATCTAGCAAATTTAATCTAATATAATCAAATTCATTAGTAACTTTTAATATAATCGATCGTATTTTTGTATGGAACATTTACCCTAATCAGCCAATGAAAATTTAAAGATCAACAACCAATCATCATGCTATAAATATTGCCACAGCTTGATTGATGCTAAAATTTGAAATTATTGTTTAAAAATATAAACTCTACTAATTATCCCAACTCTCTATATCAACATTAAACCCAGTGTTAGCAATTGGTCATCTTTGGACATAATAAAAATTACATGATTGGATAATTGAACAAAAAATTTAAGGCTTATCAGGAAATTCCAAAAGACAGATTCCCAAAAGGACATAATATCGATAAAGTTGGTTAGCATAATAACTAATACAACTTTGTTAATATTATGTCCTTTCAGGAATCTGTATTTTAGGATTTTCTGGAAAACCTAAAATTTATTTAGTATTTTCGCGAAATAATGCCCTGCATATTATTTTGCAAAAATCCGTATATCCAATTAGCCAAAAATAATCTGATATATAGATTGACCCAATACTGACTGAACCAAATCTAACTCTTAAAAAAAGAACCTAAAAAAATTAAATTTTATATTAAAAAATTGAGTAAATTTTTGCATTAATTAAAATAAATACCAAAATCCATTGCATTTACTTAACTTCCTTTTTGCAGAAAAAAACTAAGTGTAAAAAAGGCAATTGATTTTATCTCGGATTCATAGAATGATATAAGTAGTACCACTATTAAGAACTGTTGGCGCAAGACAGGTATTCTTCCAAATGTAAATAAACCAGAAGAAGATAATATAAATCAGCATATCGAAAGTGATATTTTATTAGAAAACAATGAAATTGAGGAAATAATTTCTAAACTACCTAATGAGAGCCAATATGCGTCTGAGACAGCCCACGCTATAGCAACGTATGTAGAGGTAGTTGATAAACTAATTGCAACAGAAGAAGTACTTAATGATGATAGGATCATTGCAGCGGTTCAAGCTGAGGAAAATGAGGAGCTAATTGGTGAAGGTGAAGATGAAGATTGAGGATGGGGTGCCCGATCCACCTGTATCTGCCATTGAAGTATGCAATGCAAACCATTATTCACTATGAAGAACAGAAAAATTCAGAGTCAAATCTTACACCAGTGGAGTTAGAATTTTTGAGGAAGTTGCTCAAAAAATATAAGCACATATATGAGAAATCAAAAAAGCAAACAAAAATTACTAGTTTTTTTGATTCTCACGATTTGTATCAAGAATCATATTTCCAAGACTATTCCCAAGACTATTCCCAAGATTACTCTGAAGATTACTCTCAAGACTATTCCCAAGGCTATTCTCAAGACTATTCCCAAGATTACTCTCAAGACCATTCCAAAGGCTATTCCCAAGGCTATTTTCAAGACTATTCTCAAGACTCATATTTACAGGATTCGTATCCTCAAGATTCGCATAATCAAGACTCTTATTCGCATGATTCGTATTCACAAGATTTGTATTCACAAGATTCACAAGACTATTTGCAGGAAATGTACTTCTAAGATTTGTCATCTTTTTATTCTCAACATTCATATTTTTTTAGCACCAAAAAATTAAAGTCAAATTAAAATAATTTTTTATTTATGCTTAATAAACCACACTTTTTATTTACCTGAATTCTAGTATATGTATTCGAATGCCTAATCTTGAATAAAAGTAGTCCAAGTTTGATCTAAAAAAATAAATACGTATCTAATCTTGTGAATTTTCTAAAAAAAATCTTTGCTATTTAAATGCTAAATGCTTATACAATGCTGTAATATTGTGAGACTCCAAGAATCTCGAGGCAAATGACCCTAATTAGTTGGACTAATGAAAATTATTGTCATAGCTTTTAGCAATAAAAGAAAAAAAAAATCTGAAGATTTGGAATAAGCTATTGAAATCTGTGATTATGGCAAATAGACTTTAAATTTTTTTTCATTAGTATGATCTCGAGTTGAAATTAAATATACACAATATTAAGGCTTTCAAATGACACGACCAAGGTGGCCACTGATTTTACGGGTCATGTAGGCCTGCAACAATTGTTACAATCAAATCAGTATTAAATCTATAATGCGAATACTAGAAGATTTTGACCCGGTATTGCATATTGAACATTACCTACGTAACCTCAAAATCGGTGGCCGTCCTGGTCATGTTGCTTTTGAACCCAGAACTGTAATGTCTCATATACTGTAATCCAGAAGCCATTAACTGAAAGATTAAATGCTTACTATTACGGTAGCACAGTAAAGCTAAGTATATAAGCCACCTTTATATAGTCACAAGATTTTATTTATTATATATGAGGTGACTATATAAAGGTTTTTTATATTGTCACACCTTTTTATAATCACTTAGATCCTGTTTCCCGAGGCTGTGATTATAACAAGGTTAAACTGTATTCATCTGCATATTCTGTAATGGCTTTCTAATTAGTACATATTGACCTGCCATTCCATATTCGTATCTTATACCACTTTTTAGGGTGCTGCTATTCTATAGACGTTTCTTAAGTACCAACATTTCTAATTAGGCACCCATTATATACTTCTTGCCCTTATCCGGTTTACAACAACTCCGATACCCATATTTAAACCGTCTTCTTACCCGGATTCTTTATCAGTCCCTCTTTTACTTCTAGCTAGCAACTCAGAAGGGTTGGTCTGCCTAGGCTTTAGGTACCTGAAGAACACCCTCCTCTTGGTTTATATTTTTGGAACATATGGGCAGCCGTCAATAGAAATCAAGCAAATTTATATTTGAAAAAAAATCAATGCCTTAACTTTCACAGCTCATATCTCATTGAATTTTAAAGCTATCTTGGTGGTATAATGTTCAAAAGAAAGCTTAGATCATAAGCTTTCTTTTGAATATTAAATCATTAAGATAGTTTTAAATTTCATCGAGATATGAGCTGTGAAAGTTAAGGCATTGATTTTTTTTCAAATGTAAATTTGCTTGATTTCTATTGACGGCTGCCCATATAATAAATTTTAAAAAAGAATATATTTATAAAATACAGTTGACTCTGGATATACCGAACCTGTTTATACCGGAATTGGGTTATAATGAACCAGATTTGGGAGAACAGATTTTTTATAATAAATTAGGCTGGCTATACCGAACTTAAATAGTAAATCTTTATATACCGTATCCGAACTCACCTTTACCAGCCCAAGACTATGTATACATATTTCAATATAGTGAACTATTATACAATTTCACGGATATGCATGTATATAAAGTAATGTGTTCCAGAATTTTCTGAAAAGAAAATGAAAACATAAAGAGCGAAGTGTAAAATTCCAAAATTTTCCAAAGTAATTTAAATTTCTGAGAGATCCTATTGGTTGGCTTTATATACCGAACAGTTCGGTATAAAGAGAGTGAATTATATAACAAACTTACTTTATACCGAACAAAAAGGTCCAGAATATGCAGTTCGGTATATCCAGAGTCGACTATATTCCATTTTCAAAGCTATTATCAACTCTTCATTACTTAGACACAAACAATAAGCCCATTTTTGAAACCATTACCTAACATAATCTGTAAACTTTTGAAGCCTTTGCTCATCATAAACAATGATAAATTCATATATAAAAAATATAATAAATTTTAAAAAAGAATATATTTATATACTGTAATACCACATCTTATTAAAGTCATTATCAACTATTCATTACTCAGACACAAACAATAACCTAACATAAATCAGTGAATATTCGAATCCTTTGCTTAGCATAAAACAATAAATCTGTATATAACAAATATACAATAAAATTTTATATTTAAAGCATATGATACCGCATTTTCAAAGCCACTATTAACTCTTCTTTAATCAGACACGATACTAGATATATTTTTTGAAATCATCACCCAGCATAATTCGTAAACTTTAAAAGCTTTTGCTCGTATAAACAATGTAAATTATATATAAAATATACAATAAATTTTAAAAAGAACTAGGCGCTTGAGTTGTTGTTTGAAGGGAGTTAGAAAAGAGTTGCTATATTGTATTATACTGTCCAACCACAATTAGATGCGTCTCAGTGAGCTCTACAACTTTCAATTAATTGACTTTGGTTGTTAACTTAATAAAAAATACTTTTCATTGGACCACTCAGATTCCAGCATATAATAAAAATTTTTATAGCACGACCACTATTGATCATGAGTATTACACCATTTATGTTATAAATCACTATCTTTTTATTTCGTCATTAATACTTGTTAAATATTATTTAATTTGACTGAAACCACTTTGAAAATATTCTGAATTTAATCTCATGTATTTGGGTAAGTTCAGGATTTAAATAATTTAAATTCTATATTAGACAAAATTCAAAAAATAATCTGTTCTAAAAATAATTCGGATTTTGATTTTCAATTACAAAGCACTTCAATTAAAAATCAATTAGAAATTCCTAAATAGTAATTTGAATACTTAATTTCTATTAAGCTTAATTATTTATTAGAATTGTATTGTGATCACATGAGGGTTTTCTCGTAATTAACAATTAGCGATTAACCGGAGGTATTATTACATAAATGTATATAGATTTTTTGAAATCTAACTCTGTGAAATATTTTAATTTGTCATGAATAATGATACCCATTTTTCATAAATTACAAAAACTTAAATATCTTAATATGTAGTAACGACATAGTAATTGCATAATTACTATTAGGTTTAACTCTAACTACATAGTTGCTATGCACATTATAGAAGGCGACAATTAAGAAACACCTATTTTTTGTATTGTTAATCCCATCACCAGTCGTGAGGATATTTTTTTTTGTATTTATATAAAAATAGTCAAGATTTGACACGTCCATTGATTAATATAGTTGCTATTTCAAAATTTTGAATACTTATCGTGTGTCTTGGGCATGGACAAATTCAAACAATAGTAATTTGGAATTTTGCCAACATGCATACGTATTCCCCTTCCTCGTACACAACAGTTGTGGCCAACCGTTTTACCTACAGTCACGTCCTTTTATGCAATATATGTGTCTAATGATGTAGCACAATGTGGGATAGGGGAAGCAGGATGTCATGTGAGCAAAGCAGACCTTTTCGAGTATCGTACTTTGGACCTTTTTTTTTGTGCACGGTGGGGATTAGAGTGTCCAGAATTCTGCGTTGTATTGTATTTGGTTTTAAAAATGTTTAAAGTCACGTTTTTCTTACAGAGACAATACAAAAAAATATTTTAGAGCGAGTAGAATTTTGCACTGCAGAATTATGAACACTCTAGTGGGGATAGCTGGAAAATTCAGAAATCCATGCAGATTATCAGGTTTACTCAAATACTATTTCGTCATGAACAAGTCCAGTGACCTGCTGTCACATGAAGGGTCCAGTGACTTGCAATGATTTTATCTATAATCGACTCTATATATACAATTCTAACAATTAGCTTTACTTACTTTAAATTTAGATAAATTATATTATTCCTATTAATTCGAGGTATTCATTATACAATTTCAAGAAATATTCAATTTATTAATACAAATAAATCAAGAGACAAAAATTTGAAATCTTTTCAAATTTAACACTTTTTGCATTAGAAAAGAATTTTTTAAAAAAATGTATACTAAATAAATATACTACTTGTAATTGAAAATTTAATCAATACAGCAATAGACAAATTATTTATTTTTTATTCATTTTATCATAAATACTATACTGTAGTCAGTGGAAATTCTAATTTTAAATAATCTTTTTTATATAGGCGTAATATATATTCATGCATATATTTCGTATAATTTTTGATTTTTAGCAAATTGCAACTACAATTGTAAAATAGCACAAAAATTGAATAGCGTTAATTAATAAAAAATTAATGAAGTAATAAATTTTGATTCAACTATAAAAGAACAAAAATAGGTCAGAAAAAAAACAAAACCATATCGAAATATGGAACATCTATGCGAAGATATGTTTTTTGCAGCATTGAAGGATTATCAGTGTGAAAAGTACGAAGCTTCTTTTGAAAAATTTAAAAAGGCTGCATATAAATATATAGCAAATTCAAAATATAAAGATTATGCAAAATATTATTTGGCATTACATTATAAACTCGGGAAACCTATTAAAAATGATAAAAAAGCTTATGAACTCTTTAATGAAGTTACACGTGCACAAAGTGATTCAAAATATAAAGATTATGCAAAATATCATTTAGCACTACATTATAAAGACATTAAAAATTATAAGAATGCCTATGATCTCTTTAATCAAGTTGCAAAAAGTAATTCAAGGTATAATGATGATGCAAAATATATGTTGGCAAAATGCTATGAATCTGGTCGAGGTGTTGGAAAAGACTACAAAAGGGCTTTTGACATCTACTTAGATCTTTTAGGAGGCAAGTCACATTATGAAAATAGTGATAAAAAATACTATAATAAGGAACTAGAAGATGATGTTAAATTTAAGTTGGCAAATTGCTATAGCAATGGTCAAGGTGTTGCTAAAGATGATAATAAAGCCTATCAACTCTATTTAGATCTCTCAAAAAGTAAAAAGTATTAAATTAATGCTTTTAAATGGCTTGCAGATTACAATGAAATCAATAATAATGAAAGTCTTGTAAATAATATAACTGATAATTTATTGAAAGACAATGATATTTAGCTAGTTATTAATATTGTTAATTATATACTGTATTTCTTATTTCAGCAGTGCCGAAATACGTACGTGACATTATTAATAGCGTTAATAAAGTTTGCTTTTAATCGTTGAAAATCAATTATTGGCAATAAGAATGTGTCATATAATATTTCTCTGTTAATAAATAATCAAGTAGAGTTTTATAACACTTTTAAAAAACATATGATTGGTGTTGGTCAAAATCTCAAAATCTCCGATCCGGAAATCGGGACATCTAATTGAAATAGCACCACCCTGCGCGTTACACATTCACATCATTTATTAAGGATTTAATAACGGTATCTCCTTTTAAAATAATTCATCAGATAAAGCTGTTTAAAATTGACATTTCCAATTTTCATGATGAACCAAGGGTCTTCAACCATCACGGTGAATAATGGTCATAATATTGGTTTTATACATTGTTACAGAGTGAATTGTATGGTTCTATTATAGATAATATGAAATATAGACTTTATTGATATAAGGCAACTTGCCAGAGGCATGACGTTGGTGATTTGACAATAATTTAGTTTATTGAAAGGATTTATCCAGGTGATTTATTAAATGTATTATGAAGTAATAATTGGAATCCCGTAGGATGTCCTTTTACATAAGTGAAATTGCAGTGCTTTTATAGCTTCTGTTTTCTTAACGAACTCAAAAGGCTTAGGGGAAACAACTTATTTCATTTTTAACTAATTTTAAGGGACACTCCTGTTAACAACGTAGGGGCTTACAACAATAAATACAACATATATCATTTGTCAAATGGCTTTGCCATTTTACATGCAATATTTCTTATTGCAACTTCTTAATTTATTCTTTAGTTTCTTGTTCTTCGCTTTTCTCTTTTTACGCGTTCAGGTTCTTCAGATTTTGCGTAGGTTATGAGGCTGGTTCGGCCAAGGAGTCACCCTTCATCTAAGCCTTAAGCTAATTAAATACCTGTTCCTATGTTTTATTCAGCCGATAAGTCTCAACTGATAAACCAGTATTTGGTTGTCAAGATTTCTTTAATCACAGGTTTTTCTGCGCCAAATTAGAAGATCCTTCTTTGCTCATAACAACATACAGTAGAATAATATTAGGTATAGTACTGATGAAGACATTAATTGAAACAGTATAAGAGCGTTATTTAAATACTTAGAATATTTTTTTTAAAAAAACTTAATTCACAATTATAAATGACATTAAATTAAACAAATAATCGGCATTACGTTAATACTTATTTAGAAACAGTAAGCATAAATTCGCATTTTAAGCTTAAGGGAGCATCTTTCTAAAGAAACAATATGCAATTAAATTGAATTGATAATTCATTTCATGTTGCTTAAATTTTGTTTATTAGTACGGTATTTGTCATGTTTTCAAAACTATTGTATTATATATTTACCCTAAAAAATTTTATTCATATAATATGGCACGACATTCTTACGAATTAGGTTTAAATATATATGTACATAAAATGCCTATATATTTAATTACGATAGAATTTCTTTCAAATAATATCGAGCAAATAATTAAAATCAGGTTGTATTCTAACTTTTATTAGACTTTATATTAGCTAAAAATTATATATATTTCCTTGTATATTTTAGATTTACAAATTTAAAGATTATTAGTTTTGATCTTGACATATTCTATTAACATTTATTACGAAAAGTATTTTAATCTGACGATGTCTCAATCGTTTCAACATTTTCATGAGGATATAGGTGATGTTATTAAGCAGCGCCGAAATCGCGAGCGAATACAACGTGCAATATTTAAGGATTTTTTAGAAAAACTCAATCAGTATATAAGATGAATAAAGTTGAAATATTAAGAGAAGGTAAATATTCTTATTTTTATGATTTATCAACTTGGTTATGATTTGCTAATTTACTATTTTCAGCTTGTAAAAAAATTGAATCATTAACAAATGAAAACAAGCAACTAGAAAATAAAGTTGTATATTTAAATCAATTTTAAACAAGTGAAATCAATCGTTTATTGAACGAAAATAACTTATTGAAAAATTGGAACCAGTATGAGATTAGTCATATTCAAATAATAAATAATTATTTTACTTATTCGGGTCCCGAATAAGGTTACATCGATAAACTCATTCTTTGTTATATGTCTGCGCAGTTTTTTTCAAATTACACCTAATCTTCAAAATCTGATTGGCTGGTGAAATAGTAATAATAAATTCGATCAATTATTAGCCTATATTCATATTTAAAAAAAAATAAGACCAATGAACTAAAAAAAATTAATTATGATTTTCTGAGTATTTTTAAATCAATTTTCAATTCTAATCCAAATCATAACTATCATTGCATAGATATTTGCAGAACCCTAACCAGAATTCAGTGGTACTCTAAAAATATTTTTTGTAGGATAATGTGACATTAATCAGTGTTAATTTTTTAAAAATTAAAATTCACTATGCGGATACCGCACAATTTATAGATCCTTTCTGTGCGGCAAATAAAAAGAAATACGAGAAACTATTTGCAACTGTACGCACTACTTGCAAAATGCCAATTTTTCTATGTGGTATCCACACATCTATTCAAAAAAAATGTGCGCAAAATTTTGTTTCTGTGTGCTGCGCACAGTCCGCACAGTGAAAAATTTTCACTGACCTTAATCATCAAATACAATAAATAATTTATTTAAGAAATATTATATTCATAACACTGTGTTATTATAACACCCTATATAGTTTAAGTTTGAGTTAGATTAGGGTTAGGGTGCAGCTTTAAGATATATAGGTGTTTTTTATATAATATAATATATATAGATATAAGGTCCCGATTTCAGTTCTTATAAGGTTTTCATGGGTCCTGAATATTTTTACTTAAGATATCTGATCTTGTTTACTTATTACGTTTTTGAAATATAGCATAGAGTTAGTATAAGGTGTTATATAACACGGTGTTATGAATATAACTTTCCTTTATTTAATATATTCTCTGAATTAAGTCCTTCGGTTGAAGTCCGCTTATAACAATTCATCAATTGCTATATTAAAATTTAATTAGAATGCTAATGTTGTCTAAAATTACATAATAATAATTGTTGCATACTGAAATTATTTTTACATTATCTTTATTTACAACTAAATGTCTCACAGGTAGGAACCCTTATATGCCAGTTTCCGAAAGAATAACCTAGCAGATATCTGTGGGTATCTGCGGGTATCCACGGATACCGCAGTTAAAGATCAGATATTTGGATATTTGAGTTACCTGCCAATACCTCTATATCTTATTATCATAACTATTTTGCGCAGCTACTTATTTAATAAGGTAGCTGCACGATGTTGTCATGCAAAACCAAGAACGAAAAGTAATATTTGAAGCTTTATATAGCAAGAGTGAGCATGCGATATTTCTTGCTGAGGATCGAAGTCATATGTTAAAAATCGAGATTTAAGCCACTTTTTTTAATAACGATGAAATAACGTGATTATCAACCTGTATCGGTATAAGAAGTCAGTTAATTTGAAATAATTAAGTAAATTACACCATGAAGTTGTTTCAAGTAACTAATTCAAATCACTAATAAGAAAGTCACTGGACATCATTGGAACTTCTATTCTAGTGGCAAAAATTTTCGCTAGAATGATCCAATAACATTCAATTACTGGAACTATTATGCTTCCAATTTTATTCTGTTAAGTCCAGTTCCAGTAATTCCCACTGGAACATTCCATGACCAACATTGGCTAAAGGTACTCTTGAGTGTTATATCCATATCCTAGGTTATCTGGTTTATTTGAATATCTGTATGATTATACTGATATCCGGAAGGTTATCTGGATATCCATAGAATTTATCCAGATATCCGCTTTTACGTTATAAAGTGGGTACATCAAATTGGTAGCAGTTTTTTAAACCAAAACCATTTTGATCATCATTCGCCAACCAATCAAAAAGGTAATTTCCTTTTTGGTTTTAAATTCACTAAATTCTCTAATTGGTTGGTATTGTAATTTTTAGAAAGATGTGATTAAAAATTTTAATAGTAATGTTATAATATAAAGTTTATTTAATAAATAATTTACTGTAGTTTTTCAAAAAATAGTGTTTATAAAAAGGGTGTGATTATATAGGTGACTGTAGAGGAGGACGACTGTACTTTAATATTTTTATTTAGCAAAGAAGTAAGCAGTAAACGTTGGCACTCGACTTAGTCTAAAGATGATTTTTATAGTAATTTTTTGTTAAAGAACCGTTGTGTTCTGCAATTGTAATAAAAAGTATGACCATATAAAATAGTACAAGAATTTTACATATATTCAAGGCATATAGTACACTTTAACTATTTAATAAGATTTGAGTATATTGTTAAAAATTAAATAAAATTACTTAAATGAAATTTTAATTTGACAAGTAAATTAAGGATCATAAAATCTACAATTAATAATACCTTTTAGTTTTAGATAGTTCTAATTGTCACATTTAAAAATACAACAATTAAATTAAATTTATAAATATATCCAAGTAATAACATAATTCCAATATACCTAAAAAAAACTTATCATAACCAAATCCAATGATAAAAAATATGATGTGTTAGAAGATATTAAATTATTGCAGGAAAAAAATCATGACATTGCAGAAATTAAATACGAATACAGAATTTTTAAAAAATTTAAAGTATCAAAATTATGATTTGTTCCAAATATCTGATTTTCTTGTTGGCTGGAGCTGAGGGAAATGAGTTGAAAGCCTTTCAATTACTGTACTGAATTTTTGAAAATGTCTGGCTCCTACTTCACCCTGACCCAAATTTTAGGTTCAATAACCAGAATTGAGCCTAAATTAGGATCAATGTTTCGATATCTGATTCTTGATTTAAAATAAAGTAACAGACTTTTAAAACCTATA